AGGTACTTTTCTCTCCTGGTTTGGTGATTTTGTGATACTAAAACTTTTTGGGGGATATTACCATTCCATCTTGCTGAAGGGATTATGAAACCTTATTAATGATTTTAGGAGTTATATTTGGAAAAGGTAGAGTTGATATTGGTTATCAACATTTTCTCAGGCTTATAAGGAATCTATAGATTTTAGTAATCTGACGTTTAAATGTGAAATAGTTTAATTAAATCTCTCATCTGATATTTTAAAAGTCCATTTGCTCTCCTAGGTAGAGATGCTCTTTCTTTCTTTAAAATAAGCAACATGTTACTTAACTAAAAATAATTATGCTTGTTTATATCCTATAATACATATCTACATGAATTATGGGATATTGTAAAGATTTCCTATTTTGCTGTAAATTTTAGGATATCTAGGCTTAAGTATATATTTTAGTTGTACTTTTATAATCATTACATATCACAGTTTAAATTACTTTATGTCAGTTGTGTAAAATTTACTGCTATGTAATAAAACCAAAAAGTTTTTATTAAAGAAGCTGTTGTTCATATACTGTATTATTGGTCTTACTTATTTTTTACTTTAATCTTCATTGTATTTTTTTTACATTACCTTTTAGTCCACTCATACTCGCCTCCCCTCAGCAGTCACCACACTGTTGTCCATGTCCATGAGTCCTTTTTCCTTTTTGGTCAATCCTTCCATCCCCTAACATATGCCTCTACTAGTTGTCATCCTGCTCTCCATCTGTGAGTCTCTCCTCATTTTCCTTGTTAGTTCAGTTTGTTCATTAAATTCCACATGAATGAAATCATAAGGTATTTGTCTTTCTCTGACTAGCTTATTTCACTTAGCATAATGTTCTCCAGGTCCATCAATACTGTTGCAAATAGTAAAACTGTTTTCTTTATTTCGGCTGAGTAGTATTCCATTGTCTAAATGTCCCATAGTTGTTTTATCTACTCATCTACTGATGGACACTTGGGCTGCTTCCATATCTTGGTGATTGCAAATAATGCTTCAATGAACATAGGGGTGCTTATGTTCTTTCGAACTAGTGTTTTAGATTCCTTTGGGTATATTCCCAGAAGTGGTATCACTGAGTCAAAGGGCAGATTCAGGTTTAATTTTTTTAGGTATTTCCATACTGCTTTCCACAGTGGATGCACCAGTCTGCATTCCCACCAACAATGCAAAAGTGTTCCTCTTTCTCCACATCCTCACTAACACTTACTGTTTGTTGACTTATTGATGAAAGCCATTTTGACAGGTGTGAGATAGTATCTCATTGTGGTTTTATTTTGTATTTCTCTGGTGATTAGTGGCATTGGGCATCTTTTCATATGTCTGTTCACCATTTGTCCTCTTTGAAGAAGTGTCTATTAAGGTCCTTTGCCCATTTTTTAATTGGGTTGTTTGTTTTTCCATGTTGAGTTTTACAAGTACTTCATAAATTTTGGATATTAACCCCTTATCAGATGTACTGGCGAATATGTTCCCCCATGTTGTGGGTTGTCTTTTTATTTTGTTGATTTCCTTTGCTGTGCAAAAACTTTTTAGTTTGACATAGTCCCATTTGTTTAAACAGGAAGAAACGCTGTCCTGTTTCTTCCCTCAGCGGTGAAACAACATACCATTCTGCTGTCTAGGGATCCAGTCCAAATTTTTTTTTAAGGAGTAGAGAAAGTAAAAGGAAGACATAAAGGAAAAAAAAACCAACTATGGTTGAAACTAGAGTGTATGGGAATGCTTTTGGGGAATGAGAATTATAGGTGGTCTGGAAACCCAATGTGTATATAGATGTCTAAGCTTTTCAACTACATGAAAGACAGAAGAAATCAAATGAAAGTTAGAACCTGCATGCATGCTTTTGATCTGCTGTCCTTAGTGGGATAGGCCCTACAGGATAACCCCAGCGTAAAAATTCTTTGAACACTTGTATGTTATACCAGCTTTTAGTAAAAAGAATGTGTAAATGTGTAAAGCTAGCATTTTACTGTCAAGTTTTAGACATAACTAATTTGTTTATAAATTTCTACGTTATATCTATGAATATGTTTCTGTTAGTATGAGAAAATGAAATATAGAGCCAGGATTGTTAAATGGTTTAAAATTCCACTTATTGTTTCTCGGAATACATTTTGGGAAGCTACTGGGTGGTAGGGGTCCAGTGATGTATCATTCTTAAGACTGGTTTCAATGAAATCATCCCATATTTTTACATTTTCAGGGATTGTACAATTTAATTTTACTTATTCATTGATTTTGAAAAATTCTTAATGGAATTAACCCATTCTTAATAGAATGCAAACCCAATCATAGGAATTTAACTTGGCCTAGTTCCGCAGATTTCTAAGCCCTAGTTTTTGTTGTTATTGTTGTTTTTTGTTTTAAGAGTTGAATTGGCACTTTCCTATGTCTTGGAAAATTTGGCTAATAGCGTATGGCTGTTTAGAGTTACTAAACATCAAAAGATATCCAGATGGCGTTATTATTTACTTGGCATAAGATATGGGAGATCTGCTAGATTTAGGAATTAGTTTCATACCAGACTTTGGAAAATTGATGTAAAAAGACTGGCCAACTACACCAATAAATGATAGTTCCATTATTAACTGAATAAAGGAGCATATATTAGTACTTCTCATAACAACCCTTATTCTCAGAATATTGATATTTTGATTATTATTTTTGCAGGCAGATTTTTAAGGCATACCACTCAGAAGTGTACTGCTTCTTCACATATATTCATGTAGTTTTGAAACTTTAGCCTAGTTTTATTCCGCATTTTTAATTTATAAAGTTTTCATTTCAAGTTTGAGAAAAATTTATTGCATTTTCTTTTTTCAAATATATTATGGTATATAATTGTGTTTCACTTCAAGGAGTTATTTCATGACATTTTACTTTGATCAGTCTTCTCAGGTATATCTTTAACAAGTGAAGTATGCCTGCTACTTTATAGTTTTTTCATACAAATATCCCTTTCTGGTTGCTTTACATTTTAAATATAATTTTACCAGAATTAATATACTAATCAGTTTTTTGAGCAGCAATTTGTTTTTAAAATTTTAATTTCTTTAAAATTAAATGTTTAAAACTTTATTGTTTATGTAGTGAATTACTGAAATCCAGTTGTGTCAGGTAGTGTTTTAAGTACTAAGGATAAAGCAGTGAAAAAAACAGACAGTCTCTGATCTCATGGCATTTTGCATTCTGACATGGGGACAGAAACCACAAATAAAAAAGAAAATGGCATGTGGAAGGTTCCAGCAACACCACTGTAAGTCCTGGTGTGTGCCGAAACTCCAAACTGAGGGTTGTGCTGATTTGCTCTTCTCCAGGCCCCCAAGGGAGGGTGAATGGGCAATACAGCTGGACGCACTGGATTATCCTCTAGGAAAGGGAATGCTGCATTCCACCCATACTGGAGCTGCAGAGGACCTTCAATTGAGCATGTTACAGCGAGGGCTTTGCAGTCCTAAGTGTGGCTGCTAGAGGAGAAAAACACCTTGTAACTGGACACCAGCTGTGCTGATTGCAATTGGAGACCTTTTGAGAAGTCAGAAGGAGCTGTTGGTCCTAGCTAGCTAGCCCTTTCAGGCAACTTAGAGAGTTCCACCAGGGATCAGGGGTCATTCAGTGGACAAATCTATTTGATTTTCTTCTGTATGCCCCCAGGAGTCTCAACATAAGGCTTTCCATCAGTGACATGAATTAATGGGTCTACTCATATTATAAAAAAAAATAGAAGAAAGAGTTGTTCATTCTTTGACTTCTGTCTCCTTCCTGAGGTTGGATACGTTCATTCTCACCAATCAGGTCTGTCAACCTCAGGATGAATCAAATTGTCCTTTTCCCAGAGTAATATACTTCCAAAAGGCTCAGAAGTCGCCACCTTGCTATCACGAGAAACTTCTAGGGCAAAGGAGGATGGCTGTGGAATTATGCAGTGCAGAGTTAGTGAACACATTCCTATTCACCCAGGTTGTCTAAGAAAGAGCAGCAGCAGTCACTGTGAGCGAACCTGACCATCATCGTGCTGGTGCGCTTTGCCAGACACAGAAGCATAGCAGTCACAGTCTAATCAGAGAGGCCTCTTGGGTTTCGGGATCTCTGAGGGGAGACCTGTCTCCAGGGCCAGGCCTCTCTTTAAGGGGAATTGCTCATCCCCGTCTTCCATATTAATGACTACCCCTGTATTAAGGTCCACTCTGGCACTCTGGGTCTTTGATCAACACATCAGTTCCATTTTGTTTGCTTGTTTTCAAGCCTCATAGTTTCTTTACTATTGTTTTGTATAATCAGTGTTCAAGTAAATAGGTAATGTAGCGTAGGCATAATAATAGGGCTCTCGTGGACATGCTAGATGAGTCTGGGAAGGCTTTAGAGAAGAGAGGGCATTTGAGGGATGGTTTGAAGGGCAGAGAGGCAGGGAAGAAAAACATTCTTGACCATGGTGTCATGGAAGGACTAAAGGGTTTCAGGTGTGTTCAGGCAATGATGAGTTTTGTGTGGTTAGGAGTGTATAAGAACAGTAGGAGATAACTTGGGAGGGAAGTGTTGGAATAGGTGCTTCAAGCTTACATAAGGCATGAACTGACCTATTTTGTAGGGGGAAGCAAAGCAGGGCATAAGTGGCCTACTCCTGATTATAATTTTAAAGTCTCTTATAGTAACTCCTATTTGCTTTTCTATTTAATGACATTAATAATATTTATATCTTTCATTTGCATGTCTTTAAATCATTTTCTCCAATGTATTACCTAATTTTATATTAATATGCAAATGACACAGATCTGAAAATATTATAGTATTCTAATATTTAAAGTTGAAGGGACTCAGGTATTTAGAGATAATATGATCTACTCAGAGTCAAATGACTATGTTTAGAGTACCTCCAGATTTTCTGATTCTTAATTCCATATACTCGTTTGATGTTATTTGTATAAATATATGCTTTTGGTCTCCCCCCCTTCAAATTATTATTTTTCTTTTCTCCATAGGACTTAGCTTTTACCCTGGAAGAGAGACAACAGTTGAATATTCATGGAATGTTGCCACCTTGCTTCATCAGTCAGGATATCCAGGTCCTGAGAGTAATTAAAAATTTCGAACGTCTGAACTCTGACTTCGACAGGTAACACATTCCTGAGGATGATTTTTATATTTTGCTTAGGCAGTTATTTAGTTTACTTTTTATTAGATGAGAAACTTAAAATAGTTATTAATTTGGAAATAGTAGTCAACTTTGAGGAGAATTTGCCTGTAAATACAATGATGTTTTTAAAAAATTTACCCTCTGTAGGAACATTTGAATAAAATAAAATTTTCTTTTCTAAACTGTCATCTTCAGAGAGACTGCTTTTCTCTTGTGATAAAATTGTTGCTGTAAAGGTAAATTATCAGGAAATGCCACCCTATACAGAACAAAACAGGTTAAAGTAGTTTTCAGTCAGACTATAAATACATTTTAGTTGAAAGCACACTTTTTCAACTTCCAGACATGGTTCTAACCCTATTACAAATGTAGGCCACTTACTGTGTCTAGAATTCAGTTTCCATGTTTGCACAAAGAGAAAGATAAAGGTAACATTGTTCCCTCCCTGTGTAAGGAGATAGCCCTAGGTTGAAATTCTGTCTGCATCTTACTAGCATTGGGGCCTGCTCGAACCACCACAATCCCTTGCCCTCTGCTTTTGACTCTGCCCTTTTTTATTGAGGTACTGAGCTCTCTCAACCTCGGGTTTTTTGTTTGTGAGTTGAAGAGAGTAATAGTTATTTCAAAATATTTTGTGAAGTTTAGAAGAGGTAACTGAGTATTTGTATTAGTCAGGGATCTCCAGTGGTCTTCAGAGAAAAAGAGACAACAGGATGTGTGTATCTATCTACACACACACACACACACACACACCATACTCTGTTGGATGGAGATACACATTGATTTCAAGAAATTGGTTCACATGATTGTGGAGGCTGGGTAAGTCCTAAATCAGTAGGTAGACTGGCAGGGTGAAGAACAAGAAAAGACTTGGAGCTTGAGTCTAAAGTAGAGTGCTGGAAGAATTCCTGTTTGCTAACGGGAATAATAATAACAATGGAGTAGCAGTCCAAATTCCCAGTGGTAGGCCGGACTAATCACCCTAACCATCACTGTAACTTCCTTCTTTGCCTGTTGATTCAGAGGCATGTGGTGTTCAGTGTGGCTAGTGGCAGCCATAACTTCCAGTTCAATGGAATAATTGTCTCCTGGTGGAAACATCCCTCCCTTTGGAACTAAGATTTATTGGCCAGCAGAGCATAAGTTTATGGGGACAGGAAGCAGAAATTTTGCTAGTGGGTCACTGGGGATAATAGTGAGTAGTGCTACTTCTGTTCCCACCCTCGGGTTCCTGGACCTGTGAATCCTTGCTGTGAGAGAAACAGTATTAGATTGGACACTGATTTGGATCATACATGGCCTCCTAGTGAACCTTGCCCCAGCTTTGCAAGATATTACCACCTAGCTGGTGCTGTAACTGAGGCTTCAGAAGGTCATTCCACCTTTCTATCATGCCAGCTGCTTTTGGATGGTGGGGAAACACAGTAAGATCAGTGCGTTTCATGAATATGGGCCCATTGCCTCACTTTATTTACTTTGAAGTGAGTCCCTTGATCAGCAGCAATGCCTTGTAGAATACCATAATGGTGAATAAGGATGGCAGTTTTGGCTGAAGCATTGTGTGCAGGGAAGGCAAATCCGTATCCAGAGTCAGTGTCAATTCCAATGGGAATAATGCTGTCCCTTCTGTGATGGAAATAGTCCAGTGTTGTAATCATCCTGCCACGAGGTAGCTTGCTGATCACCCTGGGGAAAGGAGGCACATCAGGCATGCAATGCTGGTCTCTGGCAGATTGGGCACTCAGCAGGGTCAATAACCAGGTCAGCCTTGGTGAGTGGAAGTCCATGTTACTGAGCCTGTGATAACCTCCATTCCTGCCATGGCCACTTTTTTCTTGAGCCCATGAGTGGTGATGACAGTGGCAGCTGGGGCTAGAGGCACACTCAGTGTGTCCAGTTGTGTGTGTGTGTTTTTTTAAAGATTTTATTTATTTATTTGTAGAGAGGGAAGGGAGGGAGAAAGAGAGAGAGAGAGAGAAACATCGATGTGCAGTTGCTGGGGGCAGTGGCCTGCAACCCAGGCATGTGCCCTGACTGGGAATCGAACCTGCAATGTTTTGCTTCGCAGCCCGTGCTCAATCTACTGAGCTATGCTAGCCAGGTCTTCCACTTGTGTGTTTTTGATGCTGCTCAACCTTCTTCACAGTCCCTTTCACTTGTTCCTTAAGTTCTTCCTTCAGCTTCGTATGTTTTTACTTTATATTTTTTTCCTGGGCCATTCTGTCAGCTACCTCGTAAGAGCAGGTGGCTTTCACATTTTTTGCCATGGGTCATTCTTCAAATAGACAAGCAGACATTGAGCTCATGCTGTTTAGATACTGGGATTATAGACAATGATTTCTGCCCTCACTGAACTTTGATAAATTATTTTTAAAGATTATTTCAAAATAAAATTACTTAATATGTTAGAAAGTGACAAGTACTAATAAAAGAAAAGAAAAGAAAAGAAAAGAAAAGAAAAGAAAAGAAAAGATAGAACTGGTTAAGGGGTATTGGTTTGGTCAGTTTGCATTGTTAAATTGGGTGATCAGGATGGAGTTCATTGAGAAGGTGACAGGAGCAAGTAACTGGAGGTAGTGAGGCAGTTAGCCATGAAGAAATCTGAGGAAAGTGGTGTTCTTTAGCTGGCATATCAAGGGTTAGCAGGGAGACTTGTATCTGAAATTGGATGAGTGAGGGGAAGAATGGTAGGTTGGGAGAAGAAGTTGGGTAGCAGAGGGCAGATTATGTATTTGAAGGCCACTGAAGGACTTTTGCCGTCATTCTGAATGAAAAGGTTTTAAACAGAAAATCAGCATGATCTGAGCTGTATTTCAAGATGACTGGCTGCATTGTTGAGGATAGAATGTAGGCTGGAAGAATGTTTAGGAAATAATTATAGTAATCCAAGCAAGAAATAATGGTGATTTGGATTTGGGCTGGTAGCAATGAAGGTGTTTAGATTTTGGATATACTGTATTTTTTGGACTATAAGATGCACCCCTCCCAATTTGGGAGGAATAATGGTTGTTAATGCTGCTGTTGAGTTCTGTTTACATTTACATTGGTAAAATATTATGTTATTTATGTTATTAAATATTTTACTACATTTTTTGCTTCAAAATTTTTTTCCTGTTTTCCTCTAAAACCTAGGTGTGTCTTATGGTCCGAAAAATATGGTATGTTGAAGGTAAAATAACTTCCTAGTATGTTAGAGATGAGTGTTAGCTTTCAGTGAAGAAGGGAAAACAGTAAAAAGAAACAGAAAAGAAATTGCAGACAAACAGAAAACCAGTGCGATAGAAGGAAAACCAAGAGAATATGATGGCTGAGAAGTCAAGTAAAGAGAGTTATTGACCTCTAGAGAATGCCACTTGCATCAAATGTTCTGACAAGTAAAATAAGATGTGGTCTGAGAATTGATCATTGATTTAGCAATGATGATTGACTTACATATTGCTAGATCAGTTTTAGCATGTCTAAAAGTCATAATCTTCCCAAATACTAATTTTTCCCATTAGCGTAATCTACCCATTTGCTCAGAATTAGAATCCTGTCTCTCTGACACCAAATGCTGTACATTTGCAGCTATTTCAGGGAATGGGAACCAATCCAAAAAGGCTAGTAAGATTATTAAGTACAATTTTGAAATATTCTTTTAAGTTGTACCAAGCATTTTGAATTTTATTCTCTAAACCATTGAAGGTTACAGGTAACATGATAAGGTTGTTGTTTAGAAAGATACTGGTAAGTCTGGGTCAAAAATTCCTTTAGAAAGAAAAAGGCCATTTGATACAAATAATAAGGAAAGTCCCTTGGACTTGCCTACCTTAGTGATTTTTAGGGTTAGTGCTACATTCCTTACTCATTTTTCACTTCGTTATTTCCCTTGGTTATTCAGCACTGAAAGTTAAAAGATGAAGTCTTTATATTTATTTAGTTAAGTTAATGCTATATGTATAGTTCTTCTTTCTTTGAGGTATTTAAGAATACTTCTAAAGTCTTTTTTGATCAGATGTTTTCTATATGACCTAAAAAATACTTCATACCTTGTTGAAAAATGTTTAATTAAATTTCCAATCAGCTATTTCATGACATTGTTGGAATGTAGATCTCATTTTGTCCAATTTCCACAGGTATCTTCTCTTAATGGATCTTCAAGATAGAAATGAAAAGCTCTTTTATAAAGTGCTCATGTCTGACATTGAGAAATTCATGCCTATTGTTTATACTCCCACTGTGGGTCTGGCCTGCCAGCAATATAGTTTAGTTTTTCGGAAGCCAAGGTATGTAAACTTTTATTTAAATACATCTTGTGTCTATTTTTTAAAAAGTTTTTGCAATACAATATTGAATGGAATTGAAGTTTAGAAAATTTTAATCTAATCAAATTTCATTTAAAAGAACATTAAATATAAACATATAAGATTAAAAGATAGTATTTTCTTTCTAGATTTAAGATAAATGGAAAGCATTTCTAAACCAATTTAGGTTAGCTTTTCCAGACAATAAATGAACTTGTTTTTTATTTGCTAAGAAAATAATTGCTCATAATTACCTTGTCTTTGAGATGTTAATTACTACTATTATATACACATTTTACAAGCTAAAGCAAGGATTCCAAATTTTTCTGAAAATAGGAGAATATTATTTTTTAAATTCAGAGTTGGCATTAAAATAGTTTTTTTGATTTTCCTTAGGTGAAATAGCAGTCACCTTTAAAGATGAATACAATTTGTCTAAATCTATAGCTTTCCTTTATTCAGTATAAATACTTTTGAAGCAAGGACCAGTGGAAGTAAATAAATATTAATACTTTTAATATCAGCAACAACAAAAGCTCAAGCTGAACATATTTGTACTATGTGTATTCTGAATTTAAAGATAAAAACTAATGTTTATAAGTTTATACTATAAATATAAAAGCCTTTTGAAAGTATTGTCATTAAAAGGATTATTTCAGAGGTAATATTTGAAAGTTAGATTGACTATGTGGATATACATAGACACATGGATGTAGTGGTATATAGCATACTTATGCCATATTGCCTTTGTATAAATAAAAGAATTAGCCACATCACCCCTTGTATAAAGAGAAGAACTAGATCAATATTGTAGGTATTCTATTAAATTACATTAGTGGTATGTATCTATTGCATTATATAATGGTGAATAAATTTTTTTCATAGAAGGACAAAAGTTAGAATTTAGCTGGTAAATGTATTATGAGGAATAATTTTGGGGGGGTATGTATGTTATTTTTTAATGATATAAATAATATATATTCACTAGTGAAATAGATGAGAAAATACAAACATGCAGACTGAAAAAGTAGGTTTTAAAAATACCTAATGTCTTTGTACCTGAAACTGTGATCCACACAAATGCATACTGTGTTCCTTAAAGAAGGGATCTAACTATATAAACTGTTACTTACCTTATTGTCCCCTCCGGATGACATCGTAACATCTGCCCATGTCTGTACAATATAATTCTACATAAAGAATCTTAGTAAACACATAATTGTATAAAACTCGGCCTCTTAAAAATCAAATTTAAGTATATTGAAATTCTAACTTTTCTATGAGATGCTGAGAAATGCTAATTATAAGAAATGTATAAGACCTTAGTTCAAGGTGTTTGGGTTGAAGTTGACATAGAAATCTCAATAGCAAAAATTATTTTTGAGCACTTACATACTACATGATTTTCTAATGACTTGGGATACATTGGTGTATGTAGAAATCCAAGTAGAAAAGACAGACGGGGAAATAAGAAATGAGTAAATTGTTTAGAAGGTTTGCAGGCAATAAGTGTGAAGGAGAAAGAAAGAGGGGAGCAGGGAACAGGGGATCTGGAGTGTCTGTTGTTTTGAGGGGGTGCAGTTGCAATTTTAAAAAATATCTTTATTTATTTACTTTTTTCCATGACCATTTATCCTCCCTCCTCCAATTTTAAATAGAGTGATAGTGTAGGCCTCATTGGAACGTGACATTGGAGAGGTGGCAGTGGGCATCGTGTAGATCCCGGGGAAACATGTGCTAGGCAGGAAGAATGGTCAGTGCCAGGGCCAGAAGTGGGAACATGCCTGGGGACTAGGTGCAGCATAGACACCAATGAGGCTGGAGTGAGTGAGAGAGGGGGAGAGTAGTGGTTGTGATAATAGATGTAGGGTAAATGAGAGGGTACGGAACCTGTAGTTCCTTAAGTGCTATTATAAAGAACATTGGCTTTTACTCTGAAGTGGGTAGAAGAATGAGGTGGTTAGCAGTCTATTTATTGCAGTAAACCCAGTGAGAGATCATAGTGGCTCAGACTAGGAGGGTAGTCATGGATTAGGGGTAAGAGTTCAGATTCTGGATAAAGAAAAAGAAAATCACAAGGATTTTCCTCTTGGAATGGAGGTTTCCTAGAGCAGTACTTTTCACTACTCTGGAGTAGTTTGCCTATTTTCACTTACTGGTTTTGCTACTTGTTTTAGTTTTGAATAAATTATTTAATTTCCCTATGCTTCAGTTTCCTTCTCTGTAACATAGGGGTAATACTACCACCCAACATCCTTTATCCACATTTTTAAAATCCAAAACATTAAAAGAAATCTCCTTTGGGATACCAACTGATCTGTCTGAATCCATTTGGTAGCAAAACTTGAACTGAATTTATAGTCTTTAGCTTAATGTAATTTGTTTTTCTTTAGAAGTATTAATTCATTTGATTGTTGAGGGCTTTGTCAGAAAAAAAGTGGATGGATGGATGGGTAGATAGAGTGATAGGACAGGGAGAGGAGGAGGTAGGGCAGGAGGTAGAAGAGCATTTGTAGCAAAATGCTCACAAATGTTGACTCTAGGTAGGTAGAGTATTCATTGTATTATTCTTTCAATTGTCTACCATATTTGAAATGCCAGTAAAGGAATGCTTTATGCACAAAGAAGTAAAGTTTCTAAAATAATTTCTGTATGATCTCTTTATGGCAGTTTTCTGTCATGTTGATTTTTAATGTGTATAGTTTGTTAAACTTCTGATGATTTTAAAGTTGTTTCGTTGAATAGTTCTCATGGCTTCTCCCATAATTATGAAAAGGGAACTTGTTTGAAAATTTATGGGGCATAAATTTAGACATTGTATTTAATTGGGAAACAAATTGTGATTATGTTTGAATAATGATGGATCTTTTGGGCACCAGTTAGCATATATAGAATTTTTTTAAAGCCCAAATTGACAAACGTCTGTTAAACCTTTTCTGCTGCAACAGCAGATATTCTGAGATATTTGGAAAGTGAACAAGAGGATTATAACTCTTATTTATTTTGTAGATTTGAAAGTAGCAATTAAGAATGTAGGTAAAAGTTAAAGGTTATTATAATTACAGAGTGTAACACAGTTGCACACAGGTATATCTTTGGACAATGATATACTTTTCTCTGGCTAGATATTTATTTTGCATTTTGAATATGGCATTAAAATCTAGTTAGATATCCAAAAATAAATTCTTATATGAATACTTCTACTTTCAATATTTTTCCGTAAGATATGATGCTGGAATATCCATTTATTGGTTTTGGGTAGAATTTCTTTTCTTTTTGGCGTAGATAATATATGTGTTTTTTTTCAAGCTGTCATGGATAATCATTTTTAAGACTGTGTTGAGCTTGCTTGGATTATCTCCTTCCCATGTGCCCATAATGTTTTGGTTTTTGCAGATACAGCATTTGGTAGTAGACTATGCTTACGTCTGATTGTGGTTAATTTGTTGATAGAGGTGTAATTTTTGAAAGCCAGAGACAGTTGTTTTTGTATCTTTGCAGAACACCAAGCTTACTGTGTTAATTAAACTACTTGTATTCTGTCAATCTTTTTTTAAAAGAAATGTTTTGTACAAATTAATGATGCAAGTATACGTAAAGGACAGCAAAAGCAGATTTGCATAATTTTTTGGAAATATTTCTACCTGCTGTATTTTACACTGCATTTTCCAGGAATCATCTTCCTCTCATCTTACTAGCTACATATCATTTTATCATGCCTTTGGCAATTCATGTTTCTGTTGTACATTTGATATTTCTAATGTTCTGTCAAAATACTCTTGGTCTTTTTTGTTGGCACTTTACTATTCATTAAATCCCAAATAGTTTATAAGCATGTAGAGAGAAGAGATCATATTTTATAAATTATTTCTTTATTTTTCATCCTATTTAGGATCAGTGCCTGGTTGATGCTGAATGAATATATTTTGTTTGTTACCTAATAGAAATAGTAACAATATTACTATATTCATTCACTCACATAGAAAACCATGAAGTATGGATAATGTTCTTTATTTCTCCTATTGTTTAAACACATATCTCTTAACAAGTAAATTCTCATAATTAATAGACCTGAAAGAAAGTGGATTCACTTCAAGGAATCAGGCCATGAGGAAATAGTATTTTGATTAAATATAGACAGTACAACTTTAAATACATATTATACTCCTTTCAACTACTCATTTTTATATAATAATTTGCTCATATGATTTTGGCAGAAAGGATGAGCTAATATGGCAGATTGTTGATTACAATTTTTAAAAAATTTTACAAAGTCTGATTCAACTAGTTCTATTGGTTGGTTTGCCAAAAGCTATGGTGAAAGAGTGTTCAGTGCTCAGATTAATTGGAGAAAACTTGAATTAACTAAAATTAAACAGGATTGTTGACTGTAAGATTTCACAGGGTAATGCTTATTTTGTAAGTTTTTGGAGGATGGAGATTGGGTTTATTGTAGATAATATTCCTAGCATAGTTTTTGGCATATAGTAGTTGTCCCCAAGTAGCTATTATTACAACTGGTATTAAAACTCCCAGGTTCCTTGATGACTAAATGGATGAAGGTACCCTTCATCAAGTTTCAGAATAATGGAATATGTTTGTAAAGAAGATATAAAGTTCTTTTTGGGACATGTTGAGTTTTAAATGTCTTTGGGGCTTCCAAGTAGGGGGTGTCTAGTAGGCATTTAAATGTATGGACTGGAACTTAGTAGGTAATGTATTTAAAGCTCTTAGTATTTTAAGTCATATTATATATGCCACATAAATGGTACCTGTTTTGATTTTGATAGTGATGAAGGTTAACACAAAAACTAATTGTCAAAGAGAATCATTCATTAAGATGTTTTAATTTTTAGTTTTATTCTTTTCTAGAAAATTCTTAGGAAAATGCATAAAAGTAAACATTAAGATGAAACAAGACAAAATACTAAAACAGTTTTTCTACATTTATTGTTTGTATATGTGTTCCTTTTGGAATTCCA